GACTTTACCGAAAAAACCAAAGAGTATGGATTCCTGTAGTCACGAAAGCTTCAAATCAACTCAGACTGCTGTGCAGAAATTGAAAACACTTGGATATTTTTTTCGAGCCATGATTAAAATGTTCTAACCACTGCTGGATAAAGCCTTTCCTTTTGTCATCGCCACTGCAAACAGCATCCCGAAGCTATAATCCATCTCGCTGTTGTACATGCGCTGATCTCATAACTCCATTTCCGTGGTGATTGTCCTATCGTGGGTGATTCCTCCTTTGCCGGTCATTCCTCTTTCTGTAGAATAGTGTCATTTAAAGGATGCATCTCTCCCTGCTTCTCTGTGCATTTCCCCCATTTTCCTTGTCAGTAGGCAATGTGCAATGGTTGAACATTTTCTTCATCGGATAGCACTCGCCGCTGGGGTTGGAATCATGATCTTGTCTCCAGATTACTTTCTTAGAGCACGAAGCACTGCGCCATTGCTCCACCCCCCACAAATGTGCATTGCTAGTAATATTTTTTGTGAACGAGGAAGGTGTAAATTATTCTCTTTTGACCGCCTGTTTATTAAATTGATTTCTGTCTTGCACAAGAGCACACACAACATCTGCTATTGACCACAATGTTACTGTGCAGTGTCACGTGCACTTTTGCTGCAGACGATGTCTTGCTGCAATTCTGCAATGGCTTTTAACTTCTCCTTTCAGCGAAAAAAAAAGTTTTTGCAAAAAAAAACCCCTGACTTTCCCAGCTAAAATGATTTATAGGCAACAACTTGTGATGGGTATAGTTTTTAGAACCTGTCAATCCAACATGACGGTCAATGGTGGTTGTTTGACCACACGTTACCGTGGCAGTCAGCGTGGAATGGTAAAGTGGTGAGGATGGAGGGGGTCCAGGAACAGTTCAGATTTTACTCACAAGTCATGTTAGCCATGCCAAGGCATCGAACAGATGACCACCACCAGGGTAGAAATGTTATTAATCTTCTTAGTTCTTTCGGTAAAGTCACGTAGAATGGAAATAATAAAATAATAAAAATAAAACATAATAAAATCATATAATATATAATTTTATTATTTCCATTCTACGTGACTTTACCGAAAGAACCAAGAAGATGAATCCCTGCAGTCACGAAAGCTTTAAATAGAAATTTAAATGTATTCAGTTCTTTTTTTTTATTGTACATTCCACAGTGGAATTTACAGTATATCCTGACTCTCCCATCACATCTCGGGGGCCACAATTCAACAATGAATTTTTTTGTGTGGTCTTATTTGTATTTGCGTCTGTACTTCTTTGAATTATTGAAGCATTATATTAACTATAAGTTCCTGGAGACACATGATGCATTGTTTCTTTTGAAACGATGACCTGGGTTACACGCAATTAGGTTTACAATATAATATTTAAAAACATTAAAAAACGAATCTAGAACAGTGGTCCCCAACGTGTTTTTCTCGAGATATATAATCCACTACATACTTTCATCCCACATCAACTGCGCTGTCCGATACTACGCTCGTTAATCCGTTATTTAAAGTGGTGACAATGATTTCATTTCTTCCCCCACCCCACCCCGGACATTTGAAGTTGGTTTAAAATGTTGTTTGTTGTCCACCCACACCTCCGATTCACATTGTTGGCTACATACGGTGCAAAATAAGTTCAACATGCGTTCATAGATAAAATCAACCACAGTACTTGCTTGCCTAGATTGCTTTGATATTAACTGTCATGGTTTTCGTGAGAGATTTTTGGGGTTAGATCGTGTAAATATAAAAGTGTCGTTAAACCCGCCACCACCCGACGCAGCCAACTCGTAAGGTTTGTCACGTAAACAAAACATGTCAATTCGTTACTTGTACAGCACAACCGCTGTGTTGGACAGTAAACCCACAACATTTACAATTTGAGTGCGACACGTTTATATTTACACGATCTAACCCAAAAAACCTCTATCATGAATAATATTGGTCGCGAAAGCCTACGTGTTGAACTGTCCTGGTTTTGCCTGAAATTGTTTTCCCCCCCTCACACTTGGCCCTGCTAACCTGTGGTGGTGGTGGCATTCTGAGCTATTTTATTGTTGAGGACAAGAGACGCCTCTGTCAATGTGGACAATAGTAGAAGTGCAGGCAAACAATAGAACTTTAAAATTGCCGCACTGGCCTCTGCTGCCCACCGCAGCTTACAAACAGTCTGTGTGTCATATTCTTGGTTCTTTCGGTAAAGTCACGTAGAAGGGAATATTTTCCTTCTGCGTGACTTTACCGAAAGAACCAAGCATATTAATCCCTGCAGTCACGAAAGCTTTAAATCGAAATTTATGTCTGTGTGTCATCATCCACGGCCCACAAACCCATCCCGAAACACTATCCAGGCCGAGAAAAATTCCTGATTAGCTTTCAAGATCTGACCAGTTTGGGTGCATTCAAGGTGGCCTGGTCGTCGCAGGGGTCAATCTTATACTCAGCACTGTACAGTATCACATAAAAAAATTATTGTATGGATATAAAATAATCGAACTGCTAAAAATACGGTACAGGATTACAATTGTTGCTGCTGTGATCATGCGCCACGGAACTCCCGTGGAAAATTAGCTGGGAAACTGGCTAAACGGGACCATTAGTGTAACAAATAAAACACAATCCACACTAAACACTGACGAACTGTGTAAACGCATACATTATTTAGTAAATTATTTTTTTATTTTACCAGGCCACAAGTGATAAGCTCCACGAAGTGACTTATCATGTGGAAATGTATAGCACCATCCAAATACTCTAAACGCGTGATGATGATTTTGAATGTGGAGGGGAAACCCGGAGGACCTGGAGAAAAATCCACGCGACTACTTAGAGAGAGACACACCGCAAACTTCCAAACATACAGCTGGCGTCAGGGTCGGGATCGAACCCACAACCGCCATCATTTTTAAATCCTTTATATTAAGTTCGCGTGCTTGCTTGCTTGCGTGCTTGCTTGCTTGCGTGCTTGCTTGCTTAGGACCGTGCAAATCTTTCGCTCGTTTTTTAACCCACTTCCCGTGATCCAATCGAGCTGACATTTTCCACACAGACTCGTTGTGTGTGACAATTAATTTTCGTGAAAAAAAATCCTAAATTTTACACTGTTTAGGGAAAACAAATTAAATATTTAGTTACCAATTGCTTAATGGTGGCAGACAATCATCTGACCCATAGGTGGCAGCCATCTCAAGCCAGAGGACGAGAGGACTCTAGCCGCCACGCATATAAAGGATTTAGAGTGAAAAATTTTGTTTTTACGGGTTATACTTATTTGATTTAAAGCTTTCGTGACAGCAGCGATTCATCTTCTTGGTTCTTTCGGTAAAGTCACGCAGAATGTAAATAATAAAATAATAAAAATAAAACATAAAATAATTCTCACGACGTTTCGGCCACAACGCAAGCAGCCGTCCTCAGGTGGATAGAGCAGGTCTGTCGAGGAGACAGAGTCTGAATGACACACTCCAGGCTTGGAGCGACTATTTGTCAAGGCGCCCTTCCCCCCTCCATCCCAGCTTAAATAGCTTAAATAGTCGCTCCAAGCCTGGAGTGTGTCATTCAGACGCTGTCTCCTCGACAGACCTGCTCTCCACCTGAGGACGGCTGCTTGCGTTGTGGCCGAAACGTCGCGAGAATAATTTTGTTTAATTTTTATTATTTTATTACTTCCATTCTACGTGACTTTACCGAAAGAACCAAGAAGATGAACCTCCATCATGTATACCAGGCGAGGATGTGTTAACATCTTGCCAACGATTATTAGATGATACTGCGGCGTTGGTTAGTGATTTAGATATAAGCATTGAGATTATTTTGGTGCTATAAATGTCCAAATGATGGTCCACTTTGTTGAGCTATCATTTGTGGCCAGGTCAATTCTGATCAAATCAGTTAATACCTCAGTGGGCTTTGCCTGGTAGGATGGGGATGGTTTTAGATTTGAAGCTTTCGTGACTGCAAGGAATCATACTCTTAGGTTTTTTTCAGGTAAAGTCACGTAGGTAAAAAATGATTTTTTAATTTATAAAAGTAATAATATAAATTAAATATTTTATTTAATAATAGAAATAATTTTATTTTATTTCTATTATTACTTTTATAAATTTAATTTGATTTTTTTACCTATGTGACTTTACCTGAAAAAACCTAAGAGTAGGGGATGGTTTTGTTTTATTTGTGTTTGGGTGATTTGTTTATCTTTCTTGTACTTTGCATTGCTATCGTGTTTTTCTACTGTTTGTTGTTGTAACGTTCTTACCCACCCCTACTGGTCATCTGTGAAAAATATCTTTATAGCTCATCGGATTCCTCCAGTATAAATACTTATTCTGAAATACCGACATGGCCACATACATTGATGTTGCGTTGCCATTGCAGGCCCATTGCACGAAACCGTCGCCTATTATTTCACTGGTAGTTTTCCTTTGTAAGGACACACACACGTACCGTACGTATAAACACACACACGGTGAGTTGGGTGGCTTGTGGACGGAGAGTCCGCGTCGCTCGCTTTAAGTGCGCACGCTGACTCGGATCGAGCCGCTCTGCGCTATTCAGGCTCCGGGGCCCTCCCCCAGAGCGGCTATTCAGGCTCCGGGCCTCTCCCCCAGAGCGGCTATTCAGGCTCCGGGCCCCTCCCCAGAGCGACTATTCAGGCTCCGGGCCCTCCCCCAGAGCGGCTATTCAGGCTCCGGGGCCTCCCCAGAGCGACTATTCAGGCTCCGGGCCTCTCCCCCAGAGCGGCTATTCAGGCTCCGGGCCCCTCCCCAGAGCGACTATTCAGGCTCCGGGCCCTCCCCCAGAGCGGCTATTCAGGCTTCGGGCCCTCCCCCAGAGCGGCTATTCAGGCTCCGGGGCCTCCCCAGAGCGACTATTCAGGCTCCGGGCCTCTCCCCCAGAGCGGCTATTCAGGCTCCGGGCCCCTCCCCAGAGCGACTATTCAGGCTCCGGGCCCTCCCCCAGAGCGGCTATTCAGGCTCCGGCCCCTCCCCCAGAGCGACTATTCAGGCTCCGGGCCCCCCCCCCGAGTTGCTATTCAGGCTCCGGGGCGCCCAGCGTGTGGCGTGAGGTCTTGAAGAGTCGCAGCGTCACGGTGAGGTACGTTCAGGTTTACAATCATCGTCGTCATCAACATCATCATCGTCGTCGTCGTTATTATCTGGTGTTCATCACAATCCGTCAAATATTTCCACGCCTCTCGAACGACGGTAATTAGCCTTTCTCTGCCGTGGCGGTGTTGTGCCGTTGTTGTTGCGATGTTTTTCTGCAATATTTTGCCGTCTTTTCTTGGATTTTCTGTTTGCACTCAGTCACATATAGTCACTTTAAGATGTTTTTTTGTTCATGTTTTTGTTTTTTGCGGTTGCACCCGATTCAAGAGCTCACAGGGCTATACCTAATAAATGAACTTGATCTAACACCGATTGAGATTTTGCTCTAAAGAAAGCTGCCTCTGCTGTGGACCAATTAGTTCCAAAGACAATGCATTTACTACCAGAGCATCTGTTTTGTTTGTATGTTCGCCACAAGTATGTGTGGTTTTTACAGACATGATTCCTTGCAAAAGGTTTCTGTTGGGTGTTTTAACATACTATTTGGTTCTTTTATATAAAATAAAATAAAGAGTGTGTTTAAACACCCAACAGAAACATTTTGCAAGGAATCAATAAATAAAATAATTTTTGTTATTTTATTTTCTACCCACGTGACTTTACCGAAAGAACCAAAGAGTGTGGATTCCTGGAGTCACGAAAGCTTCAAATCAAGATTGTTTTAACATCTTAACACATAATGATGACGTCACCCTGCTCTGCTGCTCTATCTGACCCAAAAAATATATATTATGAATCTTAACACCTGTTTTATTGCCACAAAGGGTAAAACCTATTGTTATATGCAGTAAAATTTCGATTTAAAGCTTTCGTGACTGCAGGGATTCATATTCTCGGTTCTTTCGGTAAAGTCACGTAGAAGGGAAATAATAAAATAATACAAATAAAACTATAAAATTCTCACGACGTTTCTGCCACAACACAAGCAGCTGTTCCAGTTCCTAGTGTCACCAACAACGCGCTTGCTTTACGTTGCCGGTGCTGATCGACCACAACGTACCAGTGATCTTCGTGGCGGAGAATACATAAACGGTGAAGTAAGATGAGTGGACGATAATGTAGGCCCTTCAGTAAGTCTGTCCGCAGCCCATCCGGCCCCCACGGCCTGCCTTCCCCATGCGAGTGCGATCAATTCAGCGTTGATTGAGCAGCACAAGCAAACGTCTGGGGGCCGGTTTCGACCTTCAGTGTTCTCATCAGCAGGGTCAGGGCTCACATGAACCAATGCCGGTGAATTGCCCAGATGTTAAAGGCACAAAAGGATATGAGGGTAGGGGGGGGGGGGTGCTAATTCGACAGCAACATTTCTGCGATAAATGACTCGACGTATTAATGAGCGTCGTTGTGGAGTTATAACATTACCAAATAGGCGAGTAGAATGTTAAGCGTTGCAGCATACGTGATACGAATAGTGTTATTTAATAGATTAATGTCGATCGACATCGATTGTTGAGGTCGCGACACAGGCGTAGAACCGCACGTGAAGATTCGTCGCTTGTGATTTGTCTCCCAGATTCCCGCTTGCAAACGAGATTCTTTATCATGGTCTCTTTGAATTATCACCTGGTAAAGCAAACCAAACTTGAACTTGTTAAAGCAGTGGTTCTTTAAACATGTGGTGCACGCACCAACTGGGGTGTGCGAGACATGGGCAGATCTTTTTCGAAGGTAAATAATCGTAAACACAAATTAAGCACGGGCATGGTAAGTACAAGTTACTTTGTTTCATTAAACCCTCGATGTGTTTGTTAACATACTTTTTTTTACGATTGCAGTACAGGGACCACCACGCAACCGCTAGAGGCCGCTACATTCACGGTTGTGTTAAATCGATAATTGATTGAATCGCGAGGAGGCGAATCGATGAACCAATATTGATTTTTTAAAACTACAGTCAAGTATATTGGTGTACATATCTATATAATGCATTCATTATTTGGAGTACTGTACAGTACTGTATGCATCTGGGTTACGTTGTTGGCAGCAGATGGCAGTGTTGCAACATTACCAAGCATTGACCCTAATAAACAAAGCTATTATTAAACAAATAATAGCTTTGTTTATAGGTCGCTGTCAGACTACATTGTGGGCTGCATAAAAGCATTGCAGCATATTCATTGAAATGTACTTCAGTGTGTGCTCCCCTGCCTTCAGTTCGCACTGACCAGCGTGGGGAAGTATGGCCAATTAACCCGCACTGCGTCGGGGAGCCCTCATTCAAAGGGCAACTAATCATCTGAAGATAATTATGATTCATTGACTTAAGCTTAGGAGTGTAGACATCTGAATGTAATCGAGGAAGTGTACACCGGTGCCGTAGAAGGGCGTATGCAATGCAGTGCTAAACAGTACAGTGTGTGAATTGCAAGCATGGACACGTTTTTGTGAAAGGGATGACAAGTTGCAATGAATGTTGGTGACATCTGGATTCAAGATGGTCACGTGGAGAAAGTGATGTGGAGCCTCTACGGCCGGAGAAGGCTGTCATAATTCGCCATTTCGGTGATGAAAGTTGGGAGTAAGTTGGAGCATACTTATGACTCCCGCAGTAACCACCTTCGAATATTAAATCCACTGCTGAATGTAGGTCTGCCCACACTGTGTTGGTAATGGGAGGAGGGTGGTGGGACTGACCATACTTCAGCATGCTGGTCATGAAGGAATGGTGAAGAGTGGGGCCCATGATGGTTCAGTTATCACTTGCCGGGAATTGTACTTGTTGATATAATGCAGCGCACCAAATGTTAATATGCATTTTTGGATCAGACATTGTCCCGTGTTACAATTTGTTTGTACACTTTGTACAAACATGGTTGATCAGGTGTAAAGCTATCAGCTGTACAACTTGTAACATAATAATAAATAAGAATGCCCGTTGTTTATACACGAAATTCTCACTGAGTTTCAAAATTAGATTTTCAGGAGGGATGCTGCATTGGGATATCTGGCCAATCCCATGAATGAGTGTACCTATTATGGACTTTACAGTACATTGTTATCTCACTATGAGTACTTGAGTTAGGGTTTGTTGTTAGCCGCTTTGTATCTGCACACATATAATGCATGTTGTGCTGTTTCGTTTTTGTTTAAATGAACGTGTGGATGTTTTGTGCCGAGTAGCTGTTTGATAGAAGCGTGTGTACAGCAGCCTCAGAGCTCTGCTTGTGAACACATTTTGTACGATGTAGCTTTTTAGTTTACATATTGTTTTGTTTCCGTCTCTGCTCACACATTTCCCCAATTCCCTTCTATGGCAATATTTTCAGGAGTTAAATGGTAATGTTGAGGCAGAGGTCGCAAATGGGTTTTGATTTCTTACCCATACCCGTACCCGGCCGCACCAGGGTCGCAAATGGGTACCCGTACCCGGCCAGGTACGGGTACCCGTTCCCTACCCGTACCCTACCCGAAATGAGTGACATACGGTTACTCACCAGTGACTCACGGCCTACCCGTACCCGGCCGCACCAGGGTCGCAAACGGCTACCCGTACCCGTACCCGGCCGGGTAGCCGGGTATCGGGTAGGGTACGGGTATCGGGTACCCGGTTGCGACCTCTGTGTTGAGGTCTGCTAGCCACGAGCGGACTTCAGCAGAGACTTAGTGTATGTTTGTCTTATTCCAACTTCGCAGGAGTGCAGACTAACAGCGATTTTAGATTTGAAGTTTTCGTGACTGCAAGGATTCATACTCTTTGGTTTTTTCGGTAAAGTCACGTAGGTGAAAAATTAAATGAAAAAAACAACTATCACTTGATACAGTAATTTTGCTGTGACGGTTCCACCTGAAGACGGAAGCTTGTGTTGCCTCCGAAACGTACGTGATTTAATTTAGTTGTTTTTTCAAATAATTTTTTACCTACAGTTTGGAAAAAAAGTATTTGATCCCCTGCTTGCTGGTCCTGGAGTGGCCTAGCCAGTCTCCAGACCTTAATCCCATAGAAAATCTGTGGAGGGAGCTGAAGGTTCGAGTTGCCAAACGTCAGCCCTCATTAAAATGCAAATCAATTTATAACATTTTTGACACTGCGTTTTTCTGGATTTTGTTGTTATTCTGTCTCTCACTGTTCAAATAAACCTACCATTAAAATTATAGACTGGATCATTTCTTTGTCAGTGGGCAAACGTACAAAATCAGCAGGGGATCAAATACTTTTTTCCCTCGCTGTACGTGACTTTACCGAAAAAAACAAAGAGTAACAGTGATGTACTGTATGGTCCATAGTTTGGGTTGGGTGGACACGGTCGCACCACTGTGGCTTGTCTGAAATTTCCCGTTCATGAAGGAGATGTTGCGCATCGGCCTGTTGATGTTCTGACGTGATTGACGGATACACCAGCGTATTCGAGGAGGAATGTGAAAAAAGCCAGCAAGCGCAATGTTTGGGTCTGCAATGAGATGTCAAAATTCTCTGCGGCTCTCGGCCATTGTTTTCCCATTGTTACCATCGTGCGGGGCATTCTGAGGCGGCAGCTTTCAAAACATGGCTTTGCCTCGGGATCTGTGTGGTATAAATACCCTTCACCTCGTATACGATTTGAGAGCTCTGTAAAACAAAGTTTGTGCTTTCTGTTGTAGCTCTTATTCCAGACGTGCGATGGCTGACAAAGAAGGTGGAGAAGTGACCGTGGAGGAGGAGGCTGGTTACAAGAAGGCGAATGGCTCTGTTGTTGTGGACGAGCAGCGTGAGGAACCTTTATCTCCCAGGTATGCGTTTTGTTCCCAGTACATCGTTATTAATAGGCATTGCTCATAATGCCGTACAGTGTCATATTCCCAGCTTGTTATTGAGGGGGTCATGGGTTATTTTGATCGAGACCAGCCAAATACAGTAGACTTTCGTTTATCCGAATGCGGTTTATCCGATTTGCGGATTAACCGTGGAACTTTTGACGTAATTTACGTCGAAATTGTGAAGATTTTGACGTGAATTAATAACTTATGGATTTTCTGTCAAGCCCAAATTAAACCGAATATGTGTTCCGGTTAATCCAAAATCCACGTGATCACCTCTACAGTACAGTAGTTGCATATCTTTACAACAGTGGGCGGCGTTTAATTGATCTTGATTGGCGTGGCGCTGCTGCCCACTTAGTGGGCCGTGTCGTCTGCACGGGGAGCAGGAAAGTGATATTATCTCTGAGCACGCGCATTGGTCGATGGTTAGCATTCGTTCTAAATCGAAAGAGCTAACGATCAAAAATCGTCAGTTGCGCTTCATTTTGACCGATTTAACCGGTCATTTATTTCGTGAGTTTTAATTTACGAAACTGTACGATGGCAGAGAAACTTAAACATAATTACCGATATTAGTGGTTTTTGATATAGAGATCCGCAGAAAATTTATATTTTTGGATTCACGATTTTGAATTATTTGAGGCCATCCTCCCCGTCATTAGCGCAGATAATCGAGAGTCTACTACTGTTTAACCTTTCCAGAGGAATGCAAATTGCGCATTGGTTATCTTAGAAAACGGGTGATCTGTTGTCTGCATGTAATACCTGTAGGAGGCGTAACAGCCCAAATCATTTAATCTTGCATGCGGACATTTGAACGCTTTACTCTTATGACGCCCTCTACTGAGAGGCCAGCATAAGTGAGTGTGGTGTCTCCTTTAATTATACAACGTTCAATGCAATTTGGACCTACGTAGGTTCTCCTAAGTGTGACCAAAATATGCAAGATACGCTTAATATCAGGGGTGCGATAATTCCATACATTTACCAATCAACGTTGATCCTGAAGCTCACGGTCTAAAGACCATGGGCCTGTCTTGGGGTGAAGCAGAGAAAGCTGCTAAAGACCGTCCGGCATGGCGTGGGCTTGTTGCGGCCTCGTGCTCCACAGGGAGCGAAGAGGAGTAAGTAAGTGTAAGTAATAAATTAAATAATAGCATATTACGACGTTTCGATTGCAACACAAGCCATCATCATCAGGCATAAAAGAAATAGCAACAAAAATCTAACTAGAAAACTATAGACAGACATACAAGCATGTCTGTCTGCTTGTACGTCTGTCTATAGTTTTCTAGTTAGATTTTTGTTGCTATTTCTTTTATGCCTGATGACGATTGCTTGTGTTGCAATCGAAACGTCGTAATATGCTATTATTTAATTTATTATTTTATCTTTAGACGTGACTTAACCGAAAGAACCAAAGAATAATTCCTGCAGTCACGAAAGCTCCAAAATTAAGATTGAAGTGTAAGTAAGCTCACGGTGGCCACACCAAACATTAGGCAGCTGAGAGCCACAATTTCTCCATGCCTACGGTGTACGGTTCATTGCTTATTTACACTCTCAGTTACCATTAAGTGCCCATATTCGGCAGCCCCAAAGATTATTTTTCACCGGCCCTGTTTTTTTTTTTTTGGACCCAGCCACAAATGGGCCCAATTAGATCGCATGGCAATTTGGGCCGCTGTGTTTACAAATGCCTGGGCCGATTTTTGTTTTGTTCCAGTCCATCGCTGCCTATTCCTTGCTTCACTCTCCGGCCTTCCACACCAATCTTTCCGCCCTCTTTTTGCTCACTTGCCTCCTTCACCGGACTCGGTTCCCTCTCTCAGCTACCTCGCTGCCATCTCCCACCTCACGTCTTCCTCCCAGAGTGCATTCTGACCGTGAGCCTCAACGCGCGTGACCCTCCCGATGTCGACCGAGGTTGAACGTCACAAGTGCAGCAGGTCACAATGTGATGGTTTAAAGTGTTTTTACACTCACAATTCAATGTCCGTGTTTGTTTTTTACACATCTCTGCAGTTGTATTTTAATGAATATAAAATTGCCGGCAAATAACCTAATTTGAAAGAGTTGCATATTCAGTGCATCCCCTATAGTTACGGCGGCAAGTGTGGTTTTAATGTGGTACCACTGACCTTGAGGGTCTCTTGATTTTACGAGTGAGGCAACATGATTCATGTTTTTAATAATACAAGGAATTTCACCAGCAGTAGGTAGACTGAGGTAAGACGCTTACAAATACAAAACTTCTGTCCTTGATGGTAATAGACATCACCCTTGCATAAGAGGCAGTGTTTATTGCGCCTCAATGGGTTTATTTCAACTCGTGGTGAAATAAAAAGTACACAAAAAAACTAAAACTTGTCCGACAACAATAGGCTGTATACATTATAATAAAACATAATTACGAACATGTTTCACAACTCAAATTAGTTTGGCTATTTTTGTAATTTAACTTGTGATTGTATGAAATGTGCATTATTACCTTGGCCGTTCATCCCGTTTGATGCGCTGTTCTGCAGTGAGCTGTCAGAGAAGTTGATGGAAGGGCACCAAGAAATCTCATGAGAAGGCAGAGAACACGCACTTTGTGAAGGAGTTCCTCAAGGGCAGAATCAAGAAACATCTCTTCAAGGCAAACCTATTCGCAATTGTTAAATATTCTGGCTTGCTTCAAACCAAGGCTGGCATTGTCCTCTCTCATGTCCCATTCATCCCTCCTGCGCGAGAGGGACCCTTTCGCCCCTGATGCTCCCACCTGCTCGCTTGTTTCCATTTTCGAATGTCTTTGTATCGTTTGAATCGGACACCTTCGCCTACGTTGCACGTTAGCGAGTTAGGTTTTTGTTTTGTTGATGTCCCTCCATCTCTGTTTTCTTACGTCCAACTCTGGCTCGCGTCCTGTCTGTGAACCCGCTGCTTGTGCTGCTGGGTGGGGGGGGTGCGGTGGTGTCGGCGCGTGGGATGATGCAGCTGGCGACGGTGGCGCTGTACCACGTGTACACGGCGCTGGAGGAGGAGATGGACAGGAACAAGGACAACCCCGTGTTCGCTCCGCTCTACTTCCCGGCAGAGCTGCACCGCAAGGCCGCGCTGGAGAAGGATCTGCAATTCTTCTACGGCGCACGGTGGCGGGAGGAGATCGTCTGCTCCGACGCCGCTCAGAAGTACTCGGGCTTTGATCGCGTCTAGATTTGAAGCTTTCGTGACTGCAAGGATTCATATTCTTAGGTTTTTTCTGTAAAGTCACGTAGGTAAATTTTAATTAATAAAAGTAAAATAAAAATCACGACGTTTCGGAGGCAACACAAGCTTCCGTCTTCAGGTGGAACCGTCACAGCACGATAGCTGTATCACTTGATACAGCTGTCACTTGATACAGCTATCGTGCTGTGACGGTTCCACCTGAAGACGGAAGCTTGTGTTGCCTCCGAAACGTCGTGATTTTTATTTTATTTTAATTTTATAAATTTTTTACCTACGTGACTTTACCGAAAAAAACCTAAGAATTTGATCACGTCGCTTTACCTGCATACTTATGCGCTTAATATGTTTCCTGTGATCACAATATTTATTTACTCATTTTTCACCGCTCGTTTACCCGGGCAAAACCTCAAAGAGGCTCTAAACTCTCTTTCATGAGGGTCCTGCCAAGTTTTTATTTTGCAGTCGGCAGGAACGTTGGTAGATGGAATCCCGATTGAGTAATTTGCAGGTCATTTTTCAACATTGGGATGTTTGGCCAAGACCAGTTATATTGTATGTCTTTTTTTTTTAAGCTATAGACAGTTTTGGAAATAATTGTGGCAAATGTCAGAAAAAACGGTATGAAAGGCAAATGATATAGGAATGCCACCCCTTGATGATTTAACGGAACTGCAGTCATGCATCGTCACGTGTCTATAGTTCAACTCGACATGTCCTCATGAGGGATGAATTTGAGTTTCGCATGCCTTTGGCGGGCAACCACTCATTTAGTCAGTCACAAGTTAATTACAGTAAAACCTTGGATTGCGAGCATAATTCGTTCCGGAAACGTGTTTGTAATCCAAAGGCGTATATCAGTTGTGATCACGTGACGCTTGGCAGACAAAGCGTATACACGTACTACTCGTAGTGCAAGACCTCGCTCGTTTATCAAATTAATATTTATTTAAAAATTTTGCTCGTCTTGCAAAACACTCGCAAACCAAGTTACTCGCAATCCAAGGTTTTACTGTAATTTGTGTTTAGCACAATGCACACACACATTGATGTCCATTGTTCTACATTTGTGCAGAGTAATGTACATATATGTTTGTTCATGCCACAACTGGCCTGTAATAACGCAAGTTGCCGTAACTCTTGTAGAAGTGACTAAATACAATGCCACGAAATGAACGCATTACCCTCACAAACATTGTAAGAGAGGCATAGCGCCATTGTTTTTAAAGACATTGTACTCACCGCAGAGAACTCCAGCGAGACGACCGCACTCTATGATAGCCGGCGTTAAAATGTGCCACACACCCTCCCGCATGGCCTTGTGGCAGCCTCGGCACCGATATAGTTATTTTATTGAGTTATTTATTATTAATTCTAGTTTTCTTCCGGTTTCGTTTTTATGATGTACACGTACGTCATCGGAACGGGCCAGGGTTAAATGATTACACTCCGAGTGCATTTCAGTGACATTCTTGCAGGTACGTGGAGCGCATCCGGTGGATCGGGGAGCACGAGCCGGAGCTGCTGGTGGCCCACGCCTACACGCGCTACATGGGCGACCTCTCGGGCTGGCCAGGTCCTCAAGAAGGTGGCGCAGCGTGCCCTGCACCTGCCCGCCAGCGGCGAGGGCCTCGAGTTCTACACCTTCGACAACGTCACCAACGCTGGCAAGTTCAAGCAGCTGTACCGCTCGCGCATGAACAGCCTGGAGCTGGACCCCAAGGGAGAGGAGCGCATTGTGAGCGAGGCCAACAGAGCTTTCCATTTTAACATCGAGGTAAGGGCGTGGACGTCGAGAGTGGAGACTGTATTTTGCCACGTATTCTTGGGTTTTTTCGTGAAAGTCACGTAGGTAAAAAATTGCACTTTAACAACTCTGGAACGCCCCCCCCTCTCAGCCAGTCTACATAACAACGGCTCAGTCCTTTGTTATGTAGACTAGCCGTAGTTTCAGCCGCACTAAACTTACCATAATAATAGAAAGGGGGCCTGTCCTGGCTCCTCCCCCCTCAACCAGTATATATACGGGGTCGAATCTCTTGGAATTTCTCATTCATTTACTTGATACAGCAAGCGTGCTGTGACGGTTCCACCTGAAGGCGGACGCTTGTGTTGCCTCCGAAACGTCGTGATTTTCTTTTATTTTTATTTTACTTTTATTAATTTTAATTTTTTACCTACGTGACTTTACCGAAAAAACCCAAGAATATGAATCCTTGCAGTCACGAAAGCTTCAAATCTAGAATTATTTTGCCACGTTTTGTCCATACGGAAGGATGTCTACTCATTCACTCAGTCTTGTCCGTGTGTTTATGCAGCGATTAAAGGCTGGGTTTGTACGTTGGTGACAAATGAGATTGCAAAACTGCATAGAGTGCTAGCGTGTGGCTTTGAACCCAGGTATGCTGTTGCTGGCTGCTCATCCAGCGCTTTGATGGTGACGGCACAATGGAAGATATCTTTGGTGAGAAAACTCACCCCCAAAATACTGGCGTAATCATGATGTATACCAAGCGGTATTTTTCACGTTGCGTCGTTGCAGGTGTTTGACGAGTTGGAACGGATTGGTGAGACGGTCCAAGAGGAGGCTTCGGATTCTGGAATGTCGGTGCACGACTGGCACTGGAGACCTGCGGAAATGCCCCTACTATGCCGCCCAAGGTAAATATTACATTACAAGGGCCTATCGATCCATTTGGGGGTTTGTGTAATTTTGCATGAAATATATTTACGAGGTGGTCAATTCGATTATTATTATTTTATATCTCCACACTACTTATTTTATCCTTCGTTGGCTACGTACGAAAGAAGTTCGGCTATTTGTACAAACGTTGACATCGTTCTCCCCACTCTGAGGCCGCTCTTGGTTCTGTCTGTTTAAGGAAATGGGTCATTAGGATAATGCTTTTCGATTTAAAGCTTTCGTGACTGCAGGGATTCATCTTCTTGGTTCTTTCGGTAAAGTCACGTAGAAGGGAAATAATAAAATAATAATAAATTTTACGTAATAAAATACAATTCTCACGACGTTTCGGCCACAACGCAAGCAGCCTCATTCAGATGCTGTCTTTCCGACAGACCTGTTCTTCACCTGAGGACGGCTGCTTGCGTTGTGGCCGAAACGTCGTGAGAATAGTATTTTATTATGTTTTATTTTTATTATTTTATTATTTCCCTTCTACGTGACTTTACCGAAAGAACCAAAAAGGGGTAGGATAATGCTGTTGTGGTGCTGGTTCTTATGAACCATAACAGTGCATTGGTTTCACTCTTCCTTGCCACTCGCATTCATGTCATGAAGCAAATTCATTACGAATCGGAGAATATATCCCATTAGTATTCAACTTAAATACAAAAAAGGGCTTGAATTAATTAACCAGCAGCAGTTCTTCATGTGGGCACCTAATTACAGAATGCCACTTGTGAAAGTGTTGATGTGAAAGACCGGCTTCGTCAGTTTTCTTCTTGTTCCTTGCATTTCCATTGATTGCGGTCTTAGATGTGATGATAAATCACATCTGTGCTTATGAAAAATTAACAGTGTGATATGCATGCAATGCATGGTGCATGACGAGGTTGTCTTGTTGGAGCGTTGATTTGTCTGGCCAAGAATCGAGCAACTGGAATCAATTTAATTAATGGATAGACCCTCCGGTAAAAAAATTTTTAGGGGTCTTCAATCAAATTTTAAAAAATCCCAGTTGGGTTCATGCCAGAAATAAAATGTATTACTCAAAAATAATGCTTGTCTCCGGGCCTGTGCAAGCCTGAACATTGACAGTGTGTTCATTTTAAAGATGCACATCAATCAGTTTATTGTTGCAAATTTGATGATCGTGGTGGGCGCTGCTTATTTACATTAGCCAAAGGACATAATCTAGCTTTAATGTATGACTTTTTTTTTTGCTCAGCCGCTGTGCATTTATTGCTTAGGAACTTGGTCTGGTAGCGTGGAAAACGCTTTGCCCCATCAAATCACTGCTGCATTCTGGAACCTGTTGAGGCGCAAGAGCATTTGACCGGTGTCTGTGTGGTTCTTCGGGGAAAAATGGGGTGAACGTTACATTCTGCGCGTAGTTAAAGCGTTGCACGTATGCTGCCGAGTCTCTTTTCTGTTACTGTCTTAATTCAAGACACTCTTCCCCCCCCCGCCCCCCCCCCCCCCGTCTTAAATGTTGTTGTTGCAGATGTCATCAACGCTGGCGCCGCCTGCCCGTTCCACGCCGCTGTGGCCCAACTGCGATCCCCAGCTGTGCTGTCGGTGCTGGCAGTTTGTGCCGTGGTGCTTGCTGTGGTGGTCGCACTTGTCTGGAATTAGCGTCCCCAGCCCAGCAATTCCTTGCTTAAATAAGGTGACACTGACGGTTCTATGAGCAGGCAAACTGAGGATTACTGTTAAAAATAAATATATATTTAAATATACCGCTTACCCCCCCCCACCCCACATTGGTTGAGGTTCATGACTTCTTCACGTAGAACCATTGTTAATTTATGTCCTATTGGGCTCTTATTTCAATCCAGTTGCACTATTTGTGAAATGTTGAAATATTATGGAGGGATTCAGAGTGGTTTGCCTGCTGAATCTTCAACCAAATAATGATTGGGAAATTTAAAAAAAGGTTATAATATACGTGTTGTATATGGCCATATGTTAGTGTTCCGAATGTAAAACTATTGAGCTTGATTTGCGGTCAAAACAAGTTATTCATTCCAGTACTAAAAACACATTGTGAAATAATATTATAAATCTTCAGTGGCGTTCTGAGTTGTATACATTATTTATGGTTTTGTTGCTCAGATTGTTTCCGTGGCAGGCTTAATGAGTTCGTGTTGTTCCTTAGTCCACCAGCGTAGGTGGTATTTCAGAGTTTTGAAATGAAACAAGCATTTACATTGGCCTTCATGTCTTTGTCAGCTTTACTAGACCTCGTAGTTACCACCTTTACCATTGAGACACAGAGGGGAGACACCTTGGGGGAGTTGAGTGGTCTGTTGTAAAGTGGATATTAACTTCACTCTTTGGTTCTTTCGGTAAAGTCATGTAGTTGAAAATAAAAAATTAAAATGAGAATAAAAATAACTAAAAATCACGACGTTTCGGAGGCAACACAAGCTTCCGTCATCAGGTGGGACAACCGCAGCAAAAAACAAAATTATTGTCGTGGGCCCACTACAGTAAGCTTGTGTTGCCTCCGAAACGTCGTGATTTAATTTAGTTATTTTTTATTTTCACCTACGTGACTTTACCGAAAGAACCAAAGAGGATGGATCCTTACAGTCACGAAAACTTCAAATATAGAATGGATATTAACTGCGACAACCTGTAGGAGTAGACTATTGGGTACACATGTTAGATCTGATAGTCATTTACACCAATGTCATAGAAATGTACATTCTACAACAGAAAAGCCGTTTGCGGTGATTATCGGCCCAATGGAAACGGGGTCTACATAATTGTATTTATGCACGCTTCTTGACTGCGTGTAGAATAGCATGCAGCGGAAAACGCTAACCACTGCACAGCTGTACCAGTGTGAAATAATTTGAGTTGATGTTGTGCAGTGACTGTCCAATGTATCATCACATGAACCTACAGTTCAGCTGTAAGTTATTTTTTGTTATGCTTTAAAAGCCCTAAGAATTCTAAATACATTTTTCTGATTTAAAATAACATTGATGTTAAAAACCAAGGTCGAATTAAACATGTTTCGTTAGTTGCTTTTGCACAGCCTTTGTGAAACTATCCAGGTAACGTGAAGTGTATAACAAAGCGATAGTGGTCAGTTACGCAACACCCTAAATACGTGTGGAATTTTGCCTTTTCTTGCTATCTAATTGCGGTAAAATAAAGTGCATTTCACTTAATATGTTCATTGCATTTGGCGACAGATTCACATTTTGGCTTATCTGCTAAAATATCACCTATATGCCATGGTCATGAAAATTAATCGCCAAAGTGTGAATCCATTAACTGTATATTCATTACTGTACTGGACATATACTGTAGTAGTGTGAAGACGTTGAAATTCTTGTAAAGTTAGGTTTGGATTTGACATAGCTGGAAAATAAAATGACTACACCATGTTTTATGTTTATAGAATGTTTTTTTTAGCGCAGTGCACAAACCACCACGCTACCACTTCACCCTGGTGTGGTAGGAAAAACGAAGATGTGCTGGGAGAGAATGTCTACTCGTAGGAGTTGCCGAGAAGGAAGGTGGAGTGTGGTGGGCGCATCCTAAGAGGGGGTCAGCTGGATTATGCCTCAAGTGATAATGGAAGGAAAGAGGGGTGGGGGGGGGAAACGCATTAAAACACATTCCTGCGGAGGGAGCTGGTAGGAACGTTGGGTTGCTCGGTCAATGGCCAGGGTCAACGGCGGCGTGGTGTATTCCGCAAATATGCCCGACTGTGAGGGCGGGCACAAGCCGGCGTGAGTAGGTTAAACGTTGAGTTTTATAAGGGCACCACGGGGTGACTAGCCCCTCCCCACCCAGCTCCTCCCCACCCTCCCCTCCCCACCCAGCCCCTTACCATCCTTCCCCCCCCACCCAGCCTCTCCCCACCCAGCCGTTTCCCACCCAGCCCCTCCCCTCTCCACCCAGCCCCACCCCTCCCATTTTTGGATGCACGGCGGACGGACGGACACAATAATCCCCTGTGTGCTGGTGGAACCAGTTTGTTCCTACCAGTATGATGTACATATGTTCAACTTCTTTCGCACCGTACGTAGCCAACCGTGCTAATCGTAGGTGCGGTTGGAATCTATCATGTATATTAAACTTATTTCGCGCCGTAGGTAGCCAACCGTGCTAAACGGAGGTGTGGGTGAAAGACAACAAACTAACCACAAAAAGCAGATAAAAATAAATGAGTTTTCAGTTTAAAGATAACGGAACAACATGAGCAGTGTGAAAGAACACTTCATGGATATCAACCATCATTAATGGGGGTCACATTGGAAAAATAGTAAGTTAACCATTGGGCCACGTGGAGTAGTTTGACAATATAAAACAATAACATTCTTACGACGTTTCGCTTGCGATGATTGCTTGTGTTGCAATCGAAACGTCGTGAGAATTTAATTGTTTTATTATTTTATTGTTTTCCCTTATACGTGACTTTACCGAAAAAACCAAGAACATGAATCCCTGCAGTAACTAAAGCATTACATCGAAATTTAGATTGACAATGGTAGATAAATATATTATTAAAGAGGCTTGCTTTCATGGCATCGAAGTTGACAATGGTTTGGTTCGCATGATCATTGTAAACTCTTTGGAATTGTGTATTAAGGTCTCGTTTATGGGTTCACGTGAGAAGCCTGGCACATTTATCTTTGATCATGAGCAGATTGAAGATGAGGGCATTGGGGGGGGGGGGGGGGGGTTAGGCGAGACGCATAAAGGAACTCGTGATGGGATTACGGCATGAACGAGGGTTAGCAATGTCGAGGGCGTACATGATCATATCGTTACAGTGAACGGCAGATAATGGCTTTAGAGTTGGCGAGAGGGTGAGTGTTACCAGTTAGGGCTGCAGCTATATTTCTTAAAGCAGAAAACACATTCCTGCGGAGGGAGCTGGTAGGAACGTTGGGTTGCTCGGTCAATGGCCAGGGTCAACGGCGGCGTGGTGTATTCCGCAAATATGCCCGACTGTGAGGGCGGGCACAAGCCGGCGTGAGTAGGTTAAACGTTGAGTTTTATAAGGGCACCACGGGGTGACCAGCCCCTCCTCACCCTCCCCACCCTCCCCTCCCCACCCAGCCCCTCTCTCCCCACCCAGCCCCTCCCTACCCTCCCCACCCAGCCCCACCCAGCCCCTCCCTCCCCACCCAGCCCCTCCCTGCACGACGGACACAATAATCCCCTGTGGGCTGGTGTAACCAGGAGGTTCCTACCAGTATCACCTATCACCTGCAGCTGTCCTCAAAATAACCAATGACTTCGAGCAGGATTTGAGGGCACACTTGAACATTTACGACGCACTGAATGCTGACCAAATATTTTTTTGTGAACAGTTCAGATTTTTTTTAATACCGATTTTCACTTTTTATAAAAGTTCCAGGAAAAGAACACGCTCTGTGGATTTCTTTTTTTTCCATTTCCGGAACAAACTTTGAACAATTTTCGTCATAAATCCAACTAATTTCAAAAACCCCTTTTTGTTTTACGACTAAATTATTAATCGCACCATTGCATTATTAAAATGCATGACTTGAGAGATTACGCAATGTCTTGTGATGGGAATTGTAGGGTAGGGTGGGAGTAAGAAGGTGTACGTGGGGTGAAAAGTATGTTTTTGTCCTGGTGCTGACAGACGTGATAGCATCAGCCAGACTCGAGTTCAGGTGCAGATCGGTGCCTTACCGCAAGAGAGGCAACTGCTGCTACGTTTTTGCAACTCAGAAGACGATCACGTGTATGGTGAGCACCAGGGCAGAAAAATAAATGTTACACCACCCTACTCTTAAAAAACAACTTCCAAGCGTACCCATTTTGATAATGTATTATTTCCTTGCATGTGACAACCTCAAAGCCTATACAAGAAAACTGCCAAAAAGCATGGTGGTACCATGCCTGATTTTCTTAAACATTTGTTAGCCAATAATGTCCATTGGATATGGATGTGTGTATGTTGAACTTATTTTGCCATCGTACGTAGCCAACCGCGCTTAACCAAAGGTGGCGAATATACTCTGCCTGCAGTGAGCCCCTGGTGAAGAAAGGGGCCTCCATTTAGTTGATACGCACAACTCTGTCAACTTGACCCCCCCCTCCCTGTACACACGCGTACTTGTTACCCCCCCCCCCCCACCTGCGTACGTACGCCTGACGCACCCCCCCCCCCCCTGCCCGAATCCTATAGAACGGCCGATATTTCATCCACGCAGAAACGATCAAGGTTTAATAATATTAACGTGTTTAAGCAAATCAAACAGTCCACCGCCGGACTATCTAACTCATATAACTCATATAATGGGAACCTCATTTGCCAGTAAAAATATGATAATTGGTTTTTTACCCTTGTTGCCAGATAGAAGGGTAAAAAAACAATTATTATTATCGAGGCTTCAGCCCCCCCCCCCCCCGTTTCCTATGCGTACGTAACATTGTCAGTAGACCCCCCATACGCAAGCGTACGCATTTGGGTTAACCCCCCATGCCCCCTCCATGCGTACGCGCTAAATGGATGGCCCCGAACCTTGACTTGCAATGCAGAAGTCGCAGGGTTTGATCTCCCAGCGGTGGCATTTGAAACAATGTTTCACTCTGTCTGTTGTTGTATCCTCAAATTTTGTAACTCAAATTTTACCCACCTCCCAATGTGGTATCGACTGCAAACGTGGTATACTTATGTCATACTGATGACAATACTATATTCTATTATAAAAAAACATTTAAAAACATTCTTTTTTGATATGTTATGTTTCGGCTTGGGTCTAATTGTCCACGCTCCACTGACGTTGGCTGTAATTGCCCACAGTCCCTTACGTTATGGCAAGCTTTGGGCCCACTTACTGGAGTCGTGGAGTTCTTCCATTACGAGTACGGTACATTTAATTAAAGCGTGTTTTTAAAAAAGATTTTTTTAAAATATGACTTATTAAATATACCATTGGATCCCCTGCCACCAGCTCTGCCCATCCAGCATTATAAAGACTGCCCTCCACTTAGGAACCAGTTTCCATAAAAAAAAATAACATTGATATTCTTGGTTCTTTCGGGAAAAGTCACGTAGAAGGGAAACAATAAAATAATAAAAATATTAAACAATACAAATTATCACGACGTTTCGACTGCAACACAAGCAATCGTCATCAGGTGTGAAATCCACAGCAAAACATTGACTTAAACCGCAAACTTGCACTTGGAAAGTGAACCGCCGAATTATTTTGTTCGGAGGAGCAATCCTCCGCGAGATGTGATGAGTTTAACAACGGCTTCCCTGTTTGTTGAACCATCACACATTTCATGACACTGACCGTATGGGCATTATTGTGTTCCGACTTACGAACCGTTTGATTCAGGAACGAATCAGGTTCGTAAGCCGAGAATGCCCGTAAATGTGCGGTGGGGGTAAATCGTGGGTACTCCTACATCTTCCAAGACGTCTGCACGGAGTGGAAGAGTAGGCCAAATACATTGTAAATAGTGGGTTTCTGGAAGTCCCTGTGTTGGAGGCCCTTGGGCAAGCAGTGGCGTGAGCACGCATTTTTAGGGTTGGGGGCCGTCCATAAATGACGTCACGCGATTTTGGACGATTTTTTGACCCCCCCCCCCCTCGTCACACGGCGTCACAAAAAGTCAGACCCCCCCCTCAAATATGACGTCACAAAGCTCTGCCCCCCCTCCCCCCCAAAAAACTTGCTTCAAATCGCTTTAAACTATTGTGATTGTAGTGCGTATTTAATGTGGCGCTGCACTCTGATGTTGGCGGAGAAAACATTTATTAAAACGTCTATTTAATTAAGTAGAACGTGTTGTCTATATTTATTTAAAGTTGCGCATTTTGATGTGACGTCACATTTCTCAACCCCCCCCCCCCCTCGTAACACATCATCACAAATGTCTGACCCCCCCCCCCCCACTAGGTGCGTGACGTCATTCATGAACGACCCCTTGCACCTTAACCTATTTATACTGTGCATGCTCGTGACAGCATGTGCCATCTGCACACAATTATTGTCAGTGGGATTCTTGTAGACGTATATTGAACTTTATACACTTTTTACTATTTTGCGTATTTCATAATTTAATGATGTCATGTTATGTTTGTCGTGTGAAGCGCTCTGCGACGATTTTCTTTGTGAAGGGTGCTAAATTCAATAGAGTTTCATTGATTGATCGATTGTTTCTGGAGGCCCTTTCTAGAAAGAGGTCAAATAGCCATTTCTTTCTGTAAGGAAGTGTAGCACTTCTGAGTTCCACAAAAAAGGTTTACATAATAGAACAATATGAATCAAGTTTCCTGTTTACTGAGAAATGCTGCGCTGCTTGCTGGCTATAGCTTGCGTAATACAATGAGATGGCTTGCCTTGTGCATTACTAAACGATTCTCTGCATTCTAGATTTGAAGCTT